GACAAGAGCAGGAAATTAAAGGAGTAGTATTTGGAAAAGAAGAGGTCAAATTATCCCTTTTTGCAGATGATATATTATACCTAAGAGATGCCAAAAATTCTACCAGAAAACTCCTAGAAATGATTAACACGTTCAGTAAAGTGGCAGGTTACAAAATTAACGCACAGAAGTCTATAGCCTTTCTATATACCAATAACAAGCAATCAGGGAAAGAGCACGCAGAAACACTCCCATTCACAATAGCTGCAAAAATAATGAAATATCTCAGAATAAACCTGACCAAAGACATTAAAGACCTCTACAATGAAAATTTTAAATCTTTAAAGAAAGAAATTGAGGAAGACATCAGAAGATAGAAGGACCTCCCATGCTCATGGATTGGAAGAATTAATATTGTGAAAATCACCATCCTACCAAAAGTCATTTATAGATTCAATGCTATGCCAATCAAAACCCCCATGACATTTTTCACAGAATTGGAAAGAACTATCCTAAGATTCATATGGAAGCACAAAAGACCTTGGAGAGTCAAAACAACCCTGAGCACTAAGAGCAAGGGCAGATTACTATACCAGATTTCAAGCTGTATTACAGAGCTATAGTCATAAACACAACGTGGTACTGGCATAAAAATAGACCAAATAGACCAATGGAACAAAATTGAAGACCCAAATATGAGTAATTGCAATTTTAGCCACCTGATATTTGACAAAGGGGCCAAGAACATTAACTGGAGGAAAGACAGCATGTTTAGCAAATGGTGCTGGCAAAACTGGATCTCCACTTGTAGAAGAATGAAACTAAACCCCTAACTTTCACCCTGCACAAAAGTCAATTCCAAATGGCTCAAAGACCTTAATGTAAAGCCTGAAACTCTGAAACTACTAGAAGAAAACATTGGGAAAAACCGACAAGACATAGGCATAGGAAAGGATCTTCTAAACCGGACATCAATTGCTCAGGAAACATGGGCAAGAATTAACAAATGGGACCTCATTAAACTAAAAAGCTTCTGTACGCCAAAGGAGGCAACCAGGGAAGCGAACAGAAAACCCACAAAATGGGAGAAAACCTTCACCAGTGACACATCCGACAGAGGTTTAATATCCAGAATATATAATGAATTCAAAAAACAGAGAATCAAGACAAGAAGCAACTCAATTAAAAGATGGGCTAAGGAGTTGAACAGAGAGTTCTCAAAGAAGAAGTAAAGATGGCTATGAAACATCTTAAAAGATGTTCAACATCACTAATAATTAGGGAAATGCAAATTAAAACCACTTTAAGATT